ATATTTTCCAAATCATCATCCATTTCCAGGGAGATATTTCTGGCATTTTGTGTTTTTGCTTGATTTTAGACAAAGAGCGTGTTTGTCTATTAGAAAAGTTGCTGCTGCTTAAAAAAACAAAAAGATTTCTCAAAGTCTCATGCAGCAACAAAGTGCCAAGAAAAAAGGACTGATGGTTTTCATCTTTTACATGAAGAAACTAGTGGATCTCTGACTATGAGTAAATAAGAAACATGTGTTAAGAACTGAGGCCCAGACTTCCCACATCATTCATGTATTTGTTTCCCTTCAGTCTAAGAGCTCTTTTGGACTTAGAGTGCAAATTTGTAACCCACTTAGACTTCTGTGGCAGCTGTACTGGTTCACTGGACCAAGGCCTCCATCGCAGCAATCATTGCATCCTTCCTGGTGCATTTCAGGGACACTGATTCCAAACATAAAGGGTGGGAAGTTTCTAGTCTCACAAGTGTTCTTGATGGGATGGGAAACACTGGAGTGAAAGGTAGGCCATGGTCCACTTAAGTCCATTGTGCAAGTAAGCTAAAAATAAAAATATCCTCATATCCTCAGATGAGAAAGCCAGGACAGTTCTCTTAGAGGTGCATATGTTGGTGCAGGACAGTGAGTCTTTGTTTGCTTCTTATAAAGTCCTGACATTATTATGAAGGTATTTTTAGAAGACAGCAGGTTCCCATGAAAAATATTTCATACTATTGCATTTAATCAAAAAAGGCCAGTTTTCAATATCAAAATAGGTCTGGGCTCTGCACTTTACTGCCTGCAATTACAATACCTTCAACCTTGTTCATCTTTATTCATGTTCTGGAAAAAAACTCAACCAAAAGAAACATAAAAATAAAGTTGTTCTACTTCAGCAACCTGGAATCTATCTGTGACTCCTCAGCATGTGGCCAATTGGAAATTAATCCTTTCTACATATATCCCAGAAGAAAACTGTATATCTCTTGTGAACATCTCCTTGCCTGTCACTTTGGTCTCTCACTCCTGCCTGCGGTGGTAACCCAAAACTCTCAGGAGTGTCAAATATTTGTGACAGTCACACTAATGTATGCAAATTACTGAGGCAGCCTGTTGCATGAACTTGGTCTTGACATCACAGTACATGTGAAAATTTTGCTCATCTTCTGTCTTTCCAAAATCAGAAAGAAGTCAGTTTTCTCCTAAGGAGGTCCAAATATATGAGTATCCTCAGAATTCTCAGTCCTATTCAAGCTATTTTAATACTCACTTTAAACAGTGAGAAAGTGGAGAAATTCACAAAGATAGAGTGTGCAAATATCTGATTCTGGGGGAGCTGTACGAGAAATACACATATTTATTGTCTGGATTTTTTTCTAAAAGCATTTAAAGTCAAAATATGGATATGTACAGGTACCATGTTTCCATAAGTTATATCTAACCGCTTCTGCCATTATCTTAGCCAGCTATGTTTTCTTATTTTATAATACATTCTTATAATAGTTCAGTCCAGTTACAGATTAGATCTCATTGATGAACAGTTTTAAGCTGAAGGCTCAGCTTTGCAAGGCTTTACTCAAATTACATATGAGTATTTCTCCGTACAGAGAATAAGCATAAAAACAACAATGAATTTGATTTTGGGGAAGCTGTCATTGTCAGTTTTGCTCTTATGTCTGATTTTATACAGTTATAAACAGGGTACTGTGCAGACATACCTTAACTTGTGTGACTTCAAATGTCACCTTCACGTGGCACTGGGAGGAAAAAACGCCATAATAGAGTGCATTAAGATTGCAGTTCTCTGTTAATACTGGTTAAAAATGTGTTTTCCACATAATTAAGAGTGAATTTTCTAGGCAAGTAAAATGCACATCTTCACTTCTAAAGATCTTTGTAATTCAAAATCTGAAGCCAAATAGAAGGACAAGACTTGAGACACATTTCTTTACGTGACTCTAACTCTATTGGTGATAACAAAACATTTGTTTATTTAGCTGAAAGGATGATCTTTCTCATATCTGTCTCACTCTAAAAACTTGAAAAAGGAAATTTACTGCATAGTGGCTGTGAATCATCAGTGCATTGTAGGAGAGCAGCTACACTGATTAGAAATGCTGAAGAGGGCTCTATTGAAGAGAAATATGTTCATTCCCTAAAATAACTTTCAGCCCTTTTCATTAAGAACATTCAATTTAAGTACTGTCAGGCCTTCACAAATTTCTTAGGTAAACATTATAGTGGAGTCTCTCACCAGTTAGGAGATTGCCAGGAAAATGTATGGAAACGTCTGTATTTTTTAATGAAAGCTTGAAATGTGGGTTTATTCCACCTCCATAGCGTGATTAGAAAGTGATTTAACGTGCCATAAATGTTTGGTCAGTCAAACACAAATGAACATGATTGATGGTGACATTGCACACATTTAACTCATTATGCATTACTTTACAGCAAAATTATTTGTGTAAACAGTCTGCTCAGTGTTAGAAGTAAAACAAACTAAGAAACCTCAAAATATTATATTTGTTCCTAATATTTTCCTTTTGGTTTTAGCAATGTAATATCATATGGAATCCTTTATATTCTTTTTGGCACCAAACTGAACAAAAAGGAAATTAGCTCAAAAAGATTAATGTTCTGTAAACACTACAAGACAGATTGCACCAGAATATATGCTAAGGGAAAAAAAACCCACAAAACTTTACACCTGTAAACTGTATTTTAATAATCCAGTCTTCTTATAACATAGACTGTTACTGTTGTATTAAAAAATGAATTTGGTCTCTTTATTAGCATGCACAGTCTGGGAAAAATATGGAAGTACTGTACTGTACTGCAAGTCCTGTATTGTTTGAATTAGCAAGTGCATACCAGAAGTCTGTCTATATGAAAAACATTGCAAAAAGCAGATATGTGGAATAATAGGCAGAAGTGATTAAATTTTGTACAGGCCAATCTACAACCTACAAGTCAAATTAGTATTGTTGTGTAAATTAATGAAATGTGCAATGTGGTACTCGAGTGTAACACAAGTCCACAGCCAAATTAGTTTTGTCTTTGCTCTATTGGTACGACAGCCTGGACACCTCATTCCAGATATGAAAATTATCTGGAGCTGTCTCTATTATACTCTAAGTTATTTTGAGAGCAGGAGTGTTTTGTGGGCTCTTTCAGCAGCTTTTGCTCACATCTACACATATGCAATGCCCACTTTACATTCCTTTCTAGTCCAGGCTGACAGAGAGACATAATAAAGGCATGCAGATTTACATCAGCTGGGTGCTTACCTACACTGATGGAACACATCAACTTGTTTGCTCTTTATTTTTGACCACCTAGGCAGCCTAGGAATGCTTCAAAGTGTAGAACTGGAGAATGAACAGTGAATTCCTTGACATGTAGGAGGGCTTTAAGGGGCGAGTGAGAAGGAAATGAAATGTTTCAATTTAATGTGAGGTTCTTGAAGAAGCTGCATAATAAACTGATTACATGATCCTACTCACAGGACCTAGATAAAATATTAAATGTAGCCTGTTACCAAATACATTTATCTTCAAAGATCGAGTAAAGATCTTCCTGTCTGTAGTATTTTTAAATCACTGATTCTAGGAATTAAAGCCTTTTGTGGTTTGAAACTGTTTGCTGTGTATACATAGTATCAGTCCTTGTGATATGAGTGTGTTTGTTTTGGGCTAAAGTCTACCATGGGATTGCATTTTCAGTCAATCATTTGAACAGATCAACACCAGTCTATCCTTTGCCTCATGACTGGATAGAAATCTTGCCCTGTTTTGTATTTTTGAAACTATTAGAATTAGAGACTGTATCCATTTCAGTTCAAATCCAACAAGGCCAGAATCTAAAAAATAATTAATGTCATTATAATTCAAGGATACTCTCTCTGCCTTGACTCACTACAAAATTCTACATGGGGAAAACTGCATAAATCTCATTTGAAATTAGAATTTATCTGAATTAGCATATTTGATGTTTTATCAAATATAGTCTTTTTATACAAATTTTAATAATCATCCTTGCATACAGAAAGCTGTGGAAATAGTTGACTGAGATTGTAAAGTCTTCATAGTACAAAGGATATTTGTTAGCTTTGATTTCAACAGACAATGGAATTGAGTAGAGAAGTAGTTGATAATTTATAAAAAATAAGGAAATGCAATTATAAGATTGTAAATCTAAGAAGCTTCACTCTATGGTATGACCATAAGAACTGCTTTCAGCCAATTACTTTTCTGTCAGATCCATATACAAAGGCATAAAAATACTAGACATTCACTCAAGTGGTTTGGGTGGATATTGTAGGTGAATGGGAGAAAATATTTTAGCGATACTGCTTTCACTGTACACATCCTTTTTAACTACCAATCAAGAATATTCAAAGTCATATTGATTTAGGACAAGGAGTTAGAGCTTTAAACTGGCAGAAGGCAGGATTGGATAATAATATTAGGATGAAAGTTTACTGTGAGAATGGTGATGCACTGGAACAGGTTGCCCATAGAAGTTGTGGTTGCCTCATACCTGGGAGTGTCCAAAACCAGTTGGATGGGTCTGAACAGCTTGGTCTAGTGGAAAGGGTCCCTGCCTACCGCAGGGAGAGTGAAATGAGGCTGTCTTTAAGGTCCCTTCCAACCCAAACCATTCTATGATTCTGTGGGTACTTTTCCTTCTCATCTATATTGTTTGAGATAGAGAATTAGAATATTAAACAACCTCAAAGGCTTTGTCCTGCTTTGTGCCCTTTCTATGGTGGTGATGAGCTGATCTTATTCACTGCTAAGGAGCAGACTTTACATCTGCTTTCACTGTGTATAAAGGAATTGTATATCCACCATCCCTTCCCTTGCAAAATGAAATGAAAAATCCTAGGTCACAATGCAACTCTAGCATTTGTTCTCTATCTGGATAGTGATACTTGGATCTTGGCAGAAGAGATTAGATAGCATGATCAGATTCAGATACACTCAATCTCTTGCATGTAACTATGTCATTACACTGAAAAGCAAATGCCATGAGCAAGATAGTTCTTTTGGAGCTACAGAATTCCTGATAATTACACTGCTGGGTGTATTTTCTTCTGACAATGCTAATGGCTGTACTTGAAAAAGCTACGTCACTTTTTCATATATCTGTCACCATGTCTCACTATAAATTGATTGTATTATGCAAATATATTTGCTGGTAACAATATTGTATCTATATATAAAATAGAGGAGAGCAGAGTAGTATCATGATTTGAAAAAAGATTCAGATGAAAATTACATTTCTTCTCTTGGGTTGCACTATGTAATTTTCCAGCTAGTCTTCATACAGGCTATTGAAGTAGTGGCTAATTCATTTTATGACTATCAGTAGACAGAATTGCAGTGTGACTTAGGGCCTGAGATAATAATGTTTGCAGTACTAGAGAGGAATCAGAAGATACAGATTGAAGTTGTTTTGGTAGTATGGCCCATTCTAGATCGGTTCCATCAGTTACCTAAACTTTAAAATATCATCATAAAGGCTTAAAGTACTGAAGAGCATAATGACTCCTAAATTATTTTGCCTCACAAAAGATACCAGGCAGGTGACCATCTGTCTTTTTGAAATCACTGGGAAAATGTCATAGTTCAGAAAAAACCAGAAAGATCATGTGTAGTTGACTGTTAACAATCATCTTATAATAATATTTTAGAGCATCCCAAATATAAGCAATTCATTAAATTCTATAATCAACATTTTGTGGTATCCTAACAGATCATGTACTAAACACTTCAGTCACCTAATGAAGTTTAATGTAACACTGACTGGTATCTATGGTGCTTGATCATTGCTTTGGGAATGTTTGGTTTTTTCCTTTCTCAGTCCTTGACTAAGGGTGAATATTTAATTATAGACTGATCCAGAGTTCTTTCCTCCAAATCAAAACCATCTGCCTAAAGAAAAGAAAGCAAGGGAAGAAAGTAGAAAGGGAGATATGTAATATACTTGTATATTTTTTTCCAACCCCAGGTGGTGTCAATGTAAGAAAAAGCCACAAAATATACCAAAAGTTACAAACATGCCCTTGCTATCATTACTCTTAGTTTTTTACCAAGCCTGCACTTTATCTCTCTTCTGTATATAGAGTTGCTGATCAGCAACATTTGCAAGCTTCCTATAAATAAAAGGGTTATAAAAAATGTGATATGGCTTCTCTGTGTGTGGTGGGGAATAACACAATGCAAATCCCTTTTACCATCCCACATGGCCTCTGAATGGTGAAACAAATTACTGTGGAAGAATTTTTTTCTGATTGTTTGCAGCCCACTTGTCAGGTTGTGTATGATTTGGAACATCTCCATATTGCAATTTATTTTTTCAGTCATTTACATCTCCATAACTAAAGTAATTTATTACTGGCAGCGTGTCAACAGGAGGAGGGAATAAAATAAAAACAATAAAAAAACCAATCAAAACCCAAAACAAACAAACAAGGCAAAACACAAACAAATAAAAAACCCCTAAACATCACAAAAAAAACCCAAAAACAAAACCAAAGAAAACAAAAAACAAGAGGAAAAAATCATTTTAACTTACATTTCATCAGGTTTCTTAACAAGTTTCCATCCTTCTGTTCTTTGGAACATTTTTTTTGAAAGAGTGCTTTCTGGCTAGTTAGCATGAGAAAAAGATTGGTGAATCCCAAATTAATAATAAGCCTGTGGAATAAAAATGCAAACTTATCTAAAATACTATATTAAGTCCTGTGAAAATAGCTCTGGAATAATGAAATTTGAAATCCTGAAAGTTTTTGGTTTAGTGAGGGCTGTCCTTCCCATAGCAGGAAGGTGATCTTTAAGGGCCTTTCCAACCCTTAACATTCTGTGATTCTACTATTTTAAAAAGAGAAAATTGGGAAAGTTTTTTCCTCATGCTCTTTACAACTTTGTTTCACCTTATGCTCAAGTGTGCTTGACAAGAATTCAGTGTATTATTTTTGCATATGATACTTGATTTACTTAGTACAGGGACCCTGTTTTGGGTTTTTTTCCTCAACATTCTAGAAGATCTTTTACAAATAAGCGATGTTAATTGCTATAAAAGTGTACTGACTTATGTGTTAAAATCTGATTCATGTATAAGCAGTTGTTTGTAAGTTTCAAAGAAAGGTCTGATTTTTACTCAGAACTCTGCATCTGTTTCTTTGGTTTTAGATTGAGGAGGATACGTGGCAGAAATACTACCTGGAAGGAGTTGCAAATGAAATGTATACAGAATATCTGTCTAGTGCCTTTGTGGGTTTGTCCTTCCCAGCAGTTTGTGAGTAAGTAGAAATACATTTAATATACAGAAATATTTACCTTAGTGTAAGAGAAATCTAATTTTTTTGCATGAGACATTTTCACTCTGCTAAAGTCCTAATGCTGCTACCTCAGATGGTGTCTCATAAAATAAACATTAAAGCAATCACTGCATGGAAGCACCTGAAACATTGTAATGGCTGGTTTCAGGAGAGATTTGTAATTAAATAATTGTAAATGAAAGCATAAATGTTTTTGGTCTTGAACAAACTCATCATCAATATTTTTAAATTGAGTTATTTACTCACAAGCACTATTCTGTTATTTTTCCAGTGTTTCCCATTCTTTGAATAGTAGTGGTCAACATGACCATCTTGGCTTGTGTTCCATTCCAAGGAAACTATTCATTAATTTAAACAGATGTTGTGGAGTCATGTAAGCAGTGTGGCACCCAGAGCTCTGTGGAAAAGTTTTCAAACCACTTACAGCAAGTAAAATATGTCAGAGAAAAGATATGTCTGTTCAGTTATGAGAAAGAAGCACATAGTACATAACCATAGTGTAAGCCATGTGACAACTTAATTTCTGGAGACTGAAAAATGCTTAGCCTAGAATGAGTCTGTGAAGGAGGGATTTGTATGCATAAGGTTTGTATAATGAGTACTCTGTCCATATTATCAGGTTAGTTAGCACACTCATATTTCCTCCTGGCTTGGCTTTGCTCTTCATTCCAGCCATACTGGCTGTGGACAGCTGTACACTGCTGTGGACACCGTTTGCTAGAGACTGTGCAAATGCTTAGAAAGAAACAGACCCTGCTTGGATGAGCTTGGTGTCAAATTAGTTAACATAGAAAAACTTCTGAAGACTCCATTCTTAGAGGAGGAAAGAGATGGAGAAGTAAAATACAATCTCTTATGTAAAGGAGGACGAGTATTCTTCTACTCCTCTAACTTCCCCACCTTTCCCAATTTTTACAGGAGTAAAAACATGACATTAGAATGAGGGAGAAGCAACTTGTTAGACAAATATTATCCATTTAGAAGTTGTCTAGGGTGTAGCTATGACAGAGCCATCTTCAACTTGCTGGTAAAGTTGAGGGGTTCTCAATCCATCCTTCTCCTGTGTCAGCCAAACTGTGTTGAGTTTACTGAGAGGAAATGTTTTTTACTATAGGGACAAAAGTTTGTGTGGATTTCTCGAAACAGGAAATCTCATAACATATTTCAGGAAAGTATATTATATTCAGAATGAATGGTAGTTTGTGCTGTTAATACTAGCTACAGTAATGAAAATTAAATCTCCACACCAAACCATTTTCAAATGCGTCAAGTTTCTGTATGAGTTTGTAGGAGGATGTGACTGAGACGGTATTTGACATAAAGCTGACATTCATTTATCTGTGTTGGTAGAATGGAGATAAAATAATCAATAAAGAAAGGGTGCTTATTGAGATTTAGAAACATGTCTAAACTTTGGAGCTCTCCTCAAGCACTTTAATTAATGAGTTTAGTGCATAGGTATTCTCACTACTGTAAGAATTGACTGCTCAATTTCCAGAAGAACCAAAGGACAAGGACAGCAAAGTGTCCATTGCATTGGTTTGTGAAGGGGAAATTGAATTAGTGGATAGTCTTAGTGTATTCAGCTACCTGTGAAATATACAGACTTTGAGAACAGGTTTCGTAGTGTAACTTTTAAAATTCATGCAGTCAATGACATTTTAAAAGTCTGAAATTAAAGGAAATGTTCTGCTTCCTCAGGTTATTTGTCATAAATGCAAGTCTAGGAGTGTGATTCTTTTGTAAATAAGCTACCATACAGTCTGGATAACAAAGTGTGTGCAAAGACAGTGATGATGGGACACTCAGTATTGATAACTATTTCAAGCTTTTGATGTCAACACTAGGGTGAAGAATTAGGCAGAAACAGAAGTTAATGTCAGTCTGCAAGTTCTGTTTATAACTCCACATGTGTGTACTGTGTGAACATATTCCAACCAATCCGTGAATGTAGTTCCTAACATTCTGTGCCCTTGGATATTGCTGGACCAGGTGTGGATGATGTTGATTGAAGATAAGCTAACCAAGCTGTCTCACATAGATCAGAGCCTTCTAATATTTAGTAATGTAAGGCCTTCAGCCAGGCTCTAGGCCTACCACTCTCTGCCCCAAAATTTTCCTAATGAGGCCGGAATATCTCAGCATTGACACTCGACCTAGCAGTGGGAGCAGCCACTGTCCATGTGTGATGTTGGTTGTGAAAGAGAACTGACTCCTGGCCTCTTCTCTTCCTGCAGGCTGGTGTTTGCGAAGCTGAAGCTCTTAATGATAGCCATAGAGTACAAGTCGGAGAAACGCGAAAGCAGGTGCGTGTGTGCCACCCACTTTGGAAGTTCTCCAATGCACTGTCAAGAATTTTGCCTGCTTTTTTTTTTCAGAATGAGCACAGCTATTCTTTGAAACATTTCAGAGTGTAATTAGCATGCCATTGCATTGCAGCATTTCACATAGGACTGAAAAGGACTTATTTCTGCCCTTTTCCTTCCTAAAATTAACCCAAGTCAGAGTGTTTAGTAAAACGTGCAGTAGTGCATATGTCTCATCTCCAGGAGTGATTTTACTTATGGAAAAGCTTACAATTTTTGTGTTTATAGCATATCACTTTTAATCAGAGATCCATTACACTATTAAAAACAGAAGTGATATCAAAATTCATTATGGCTATGTGTATTTTCAAAATAAAAATTTCATTTAAATTAGTTTGGGAGAACCAATTTAGATATGGAAAAGATTAATTTAGCCTTGAAATTCACAATTTGCTAGTTACTTGCATCAACCGAAAAGAAAAAAAAAATTATTATTTTTAGTACAAATTCACAGATGGGAAGTGTTTCTTGCATTTTTGTTTTTGTGCAAAGGTTCATAGAAACATGATTGAACATTGGAGTCACTCTTCCATCAGCTTGTCCATTCGTGCTTTAAACAATATTCATTTTTATGTAAAAAAAAAGTTATGTTATCTGCAACATGTGAAGGGTCATATAATAAAAATATGACAATACTGACACTGAGATAAATTTGATTTTCCTCTTTCAAAATTACATTTTGTACTGCTGTGGTAAACCTGAAGTGATACATACTAGTTCATCTTCTTTTTGGCTACTAATGATCTTTTTGTGGCCAAAGGGCACCTTTGAGGACAATAGCTTTTTCTCACAGGGGAACCAATTCTATCAATTGAACTCATTCTACATTTTATGGGGTTTTGAAAGTTTAATAGTATTGAATTTCATAATTTTTCTTTATTAAAAGAATCAAAAAACCTGTGTTAGACATTTGACATAGAAAAAACAGTGTTACAACTATTTATGAGTATTTCCATGCGCTGTAGTTGATTTTGCTGGATTCTTCCATATGTTTTAAAATGAAATGTGAAGTGGTACTATGAAGCGGTACATACTATTGGATACCATTTTGGTTCACTCTATGCTGATTAAGAAATCCTTATTTTTTACTATCAGATTTTTTATGCTGTATTTAGCTCCTTTGTACTTTTAAATTACTTTTCCATTGAAAGACCTCAGTCTGCATTAGCTAATGTAAAATGAACAATCTATTCTTCTGTCTATGAACAGTTTAATCTCTTGCTAGAAAAAGGAAAAATACTATAGTAACAGCAGTGGAACAATTTACCAGATTTTGGTCTTCAGTGTTAATAAATATTTGGTTTCTGTTTTTCTCCTAACAATTATTGGCCAAATTTATATTGCCATTACTTCAGTTGTAATTTACTTACATAAGTGCTAATATTGCAGTCTTTTGAAGTAATAACAGATTTTTGTTGGCTTCCATATCATTCTTTGCATTAACTTCAGTGGGAGTTGGATTGAGTTCTTAATCAAAAGGTGATGCAGAGGATCCCACAAAAAGTAAAAGTGTGATACAATCATATATGTCTTACTTAAAGCCATACACGTAATAGTTTCAAATAATTATTATAGTAGGGAAAAAAAGAGCCTAAAATTGCTAGACTAACAAGGGATATTAACAGATGGCTTTATTGAATATGTATGTAGCAAGAGGAGGGCATATATGGTAGATAGTCATATTTTCTTATAACCCTGATCCACAGTAATATCTGCTGATTTTATTAACCAGTGATAATTTTATAGTCACTGTTTGATCAACCACAGAACTACCTGCAGCATATCTTTACTGTTCTACTTGTTCCTGTGCTCTTCAAGTCAAATATGTTAACTAGATATTTGTGGTTTTCTGATCCTTTAGTCAAATCAGAAGGCTAATGCAACAAAACTTCTGTTTCTCACTTCCTAAGTATACTTGCATTTCCATGCATCTTATTAAATAAAAAGGTGCAGAATTAAAATAAAAGTTAGAATAACATAGTTTAGAAGCATAAGCTCTTTTTGAACAATGTAGATTTGTCATGCATCAATTATATTTGCTGATGCTGACATTGAAAATATTTTATTCTGCTCATATCCAAATTTCTTCCTGGCAATTCTTCATAAAGATGAAGTGAGAATATTTTTCAATATAATGAGAGTGACAAAAAATAGATACATGGAGATTTATTTTATAATTATACTTTGCATTCATGTTTTGTAGAACTATTATGGAAGAAGTTTTGTATAATTTAAAATTTAGAGAAACAATGTTAAATATAACTAAACATTTAGAACATTATGTAGATGGCACCTTTCATTAAGATCTGGTACTTCCTGCCATTGCTGTGACAGGTCTCAAAACATTATTTTAAAAAGCAGATGAAATTTTCAAAGCATTCTTTCTACTTAAAGGATGAGAAGATCTTACTTCCAACTGTTTAATTTTTGTTACTAGTCAACATAAAATGTCTATATCATTAAATTATATGTTGGATTTGTTATTTACACAGGGAGTTTCTGTTAAGATTAGTTTCATTTGCCTTTGCACTCAGAGCTAAAGCAGTGAATAAGATTCAGGAGTGTATGCAGCTCTAAACATTACAATGTAAGGGCATTTTAAATTTCCTAAGCCCCTCTTTAAATTTTCAAGTCAGTCTTAAGGATAAATAATAGTCCCATCCAACTGAATGGCAGACTTTTATTTGACTGCTAATATCTTCATTAGATGTAGAATGGCATAAATACTAATTTACCTCTGCTTTTTTTTTTTTTTTTTTTTTTTTTTTTTTTTTTTGGTTTTTTTTTTTTTTTTTTTTTTTTTTTTTTTTTTTTTTTTTTTTTTTTTTTTTTTTNCTAGTTTTCTAAATTTTTCTTATTTACAGTCTAATTCTGTTAACTCTACTGTAGGGAATTTGAAATCAATAGTAATTAAAAATTATCAGAACTCTATCCAAGCCAATATTACTGTAGATCTTAGTGGCAGCTGAGCTTCCTGCTTGCAGATATTTTTTTTTTCTTTTTTCCTGTCTACTAATAAAACTACACAAAACAGAAAGCATGCCTTGAAAACAAGTTTTGCCAGTTTAGGTAGGTAATTAATTACAATTATTATTTTACAGCATTGCTTAAAAGCTGATATCAAAGCCTAAATATAAGTAATATAGTTATAAATATGATAAATACATATTAGTTTTCATATAATGGATAGAGTATCTAGAGTATGTTTATTGTTTTACACAACTGCTTTTCATCAAGGTATCTAAAGATTCATTAAAAAACCCCATTATTAGATTTCTTTTAACCTTTGCATTCATATATTTGATAAGATTTAAATTATTTCTCAGCTATCAAAGAAATCTCTGAATTTACAAAACTCAATTTAGAGTGTTTCTGACCAGCTACTAAAGTTTGCACTCTGGTAACTCCAGCTCATGATATGAGTTAACCATTTCTTCATCTCTAATTGCTTTCTGGGAATATTATAACCCATGGTTAAGAACAGGAAGCGCTTAAATTATTTTTTGTCTCCCTGGTACAAGCCAAAGACTATCACTTAAATAATGCTCTTAGCTTATTTGGAGAGGTTTTGCTTTTTTTGTAGAAAAATGCAAAGGAAACATGGAGAACATGAACCTGAAAATATCCCAATGTTAAATATACATCAAAAAATAACAGTTCAAAATTCAGATACTCAAACTCCTCATCTGAAATCCCTTTTAGAGAGATTTCTGCCTTCCTTTACCCCCTGTATTTTTATTCTACATAACTAAGCAAGAAGGAAAGCCTAACCAGGATTCTTCCCTCCTGCTCCCCATTTATACTCCGCTTGTAAAATTTTCTCTTTGTCTATCCATATATTTGTTCTCATTCACAGCAGAAAAACCTTTAAGCCTTGAAGACTTTTAAATAAAGGGTTTTTTTGCTTTTGCTTTGGTGTCAGTTGATTTCTTATCAAAGTGTTTGATTTGCAATTTTTTTCTTGTCGTTTGCAGAAGCCGAAAGCGGTATGCCCTCTTCGTTACCTTTCCTTCCAACCTCAATCCTACCTTCACTCCTTCTAACTTCAGGACTAATTCCTTGCCAAGAACACAGGAAGATAACATCTTTGTCTATCTTTCTCTCTATATACACACACATATATACCCATATATATTCATCTACCTATGTGTGTGTGTGTATATATATCTGTGTATATATTTATATATGAGCCCCCAGTCTCAAAGAGGAGAGAGAGAACAGCATTTTGTCTCTCAAGTATTTCTTGTGACTCACGCACTAACTTCTTTGCAGGAAGTACAAAATAGAACAGGATTCGCTTTTTAGGCTTTTTCCCCCTTTGTGGAGTCATTGGTGTATCAGATTGTTGCATTTGAAAAGCAGATTTTGCTGTTAATATCTCCTGTCCTCATTTTGACTGTATCATGACGATGTATATTTCGTCTTTACCAGCTGTTGTGCTGCCATGTTGTTTTCATATTCACGCCTTCATTGATGTCCTTCTTTCCCCAGAGTCTTCCTTCAAAACACGTCTTAAAATACAGTAGTTCATGTTCTCTTGCAGTCTCATTTTCCATTAACAGCAACCAAATACCTGATTCTTTGCATTTCTGGTCCTGTTTTGAGTCCAATTACTCATAACACAGTACCCATTAAAGTTTTTGTACTGTTCCAGTGAAAGTGCCATGGATAGTTTGTATTATATGTCACATACATTTTAATGACATTTATTAACTCATTTATGAAGAAGTTACTGAATGTATTTTTTTTTTCATCTTTGGAGGTTTTTTTGAGATGGCATGTTTTGCATTTTCTTTGGTGTACCATGCTGTGAGTCCCTCTCTACTCTACATTCTATCATGCTGCTATTGGTTTGGATGAAGTAAATAAGGCATGCTCTTCCATATCCTTGTCTCTCCTCATCTCTCTTCCCCCGACAGATTTTTTTTTTTCCCTAATTGCTTATAGCAGTCTGTCTGACTGTCAGTGATGGTCCTTGGAGACCTGCTGTCATTGTCCAGACATTTCAATTTCCATCTTCATTGTACTGTTCAAACTCTATTTTCCATGTCTGTTCTGTTGTGTATGTTGTATGTGTTACATGTATTTAAGTTTTAGTCTTATCTTCCTATAGTTTCTGAGTAGATGTGTGATAAGAGAGGTGGCTTCCTGTCAGTTTGGCATTATTGATATGATCCAACTGCAGAGAAGTTACTGCAACACTTAGCATCTCCAAGGATCTGCAGCTGTTGCACCTCTACTTTGCTTCTTGCTTTTAAGTATATCTTATCTTGTGAAGGCATGTTAATGCTGGCATGATGAGCAGTATGAAGAAGTGTTGTACCAAGTGAAGTTGCTTGCTCCCAGAATAAAGTATATTGTTCTGCCTCATTGTACTGATAATTAATCACTTCTGGAACCAGAAGGAATAATTTAATTGTTTTCAAGTGTATTGAGTTCACCATCACTATTGAACTAGTTTGGAGTATGCCCAAATAAAATACCTCATGTACATCCTGTAGACCATGGCTTAGGTGCTGTTGTAAAAAAATTAAGTCCTGGGAGCAACCTTTTATATGCTTGTAGTAATTAAGCTTCAATATACTGTAGCATGTAATGTGCACTGTGTCTTTTGCCTTGTATTCTTTTCAGTGTCTTAAGAATTTGCTGTATAGAGCAATATGGAGCATTATAAATTAATGTCAGTGATAGAGCCCAGAAGAAAGAAGCAATAACTTATGAGTTACAATGAGTGTGAAAACTGGTATGTGCACAACTCCCACTATGAGATTTGTGCATTTACACTCACACTCTACTTCAAAACATATGCTGAAACAAAAAATACTATTTCCAACTACTTTTATAGTTGGATGAATGACATGGTGTGTTTTAAAAGGCCATTATGCTAATAGTGGTACGTTTTATCTGGGCATAGCATGAAACAATCAAGAATAATAGCTGGTGTTGTTTAAAAGTTTGGTAGCTATAGTAAATAATGCCACATAATTTTGTTTTAGATAATGTATTCATAGTACTTAAACAATATTATATCTTCCTGATTACTAGATATTGCTGTTGTTTGAGTTGCATGGGGAATGGTACAGTACATCTACCACAAGATTTAAAACAGAATTGTTACAGCTTTTGCCATTCATTTAGTCAAAATGTTGGTGTTTGTGTTTCATTTATTTCAACAATTGGTCTTTCTTTTTCTTTGGAATAGGGTGATGACAGTCACACAGATACCCATACAGCTGAAAGCAAACAAACAAAAAAGAAGTAGGGTTACTAAATCAGATAAGTTTCCTTGATGCAGGGGTGAACTGTTCAATTGGTCTCTGATAATGGGTTTCATCACACCTGACTTTGTCAACAAAAATGTTAAATGCCTTACATCCTGTTAGTTATCCAGACTTAGTCCATAATTGCAAGGGAAGAGAGAGTCAGTTCTTGAATGCATTAGAATTCAATCTGAAAAGAGATGAGATGAATCCCACCTTCAATGCTGTCTAAAGTATAGAGTTGAAAGTAAGATCAGATAGGAATAGTACATAACAGAGGCATGGATAAGGAAAATCCTTAAAAAGGCCTCTCCTGGTCTGTGTATCTATTGCTTGACCTTATCTGTGCTTTCAGTTTTTAGTCTTTGTGTAGTGCTGCTAAAATGTCATTACCCTTGTATATTTGCTGTGCTGTACTTGATGGCAACTCCACATGCCTTTGTCAGCTCAGTTTAAAGACTTTCACCACACTGTTCCATATTATTAAATCCCTCTTTTGTTTTTCTTAGAGAAGGCTGACAGTTATGAGGATGACAGATCTGAGAGTCAGCCACTGTACTACGTCTAGATTAAGAGTTCAAAGTCCCATCCATTCACAAGTTCAGCAGTAGTGGAAGCCTCCTCAGTTTCAAGCTATGCAAAGCAAATTGTGGAACCACTTAGCGAGTGGCCTACCAGTAAACACATACTGCATCATGATGATTCAGACTCTGACACTGACTGTTTTTTTTTTTCATATAGTTCACCTAGAAGATGGCTGAATATTCTAGAAAGCTACAGGAAACATTTTTCATGTTCTATTGAAATATTTTGTATGCTAATAATTATTAGAAGTAAATTTTTAAATATTCTTTTAATATGAAAAAGATATCAGCTTTCTATAACTTTGTAATATTGCTTTAGACCAAGAAACATAATTTGAGTTAAATATGTGTGATATTTAAAAGCAGGAGACAAAAATCACCTAGCAGCAGAAATGAGTAAAAAATAAATAGATGGAATTAATTAGTCCTACCCCAAAGTGTCAATTCACAAATTATCTTACAGTTCAAGTCTCCAATTATTAGGCTCTGCATCAAGTATCTTTGCATTCAAAAAACCACAGAAGATACACAATTAGTAAAGGAAACCATAGCTTACTTTTAGTTCTTTAAAAGAATATATAATATGGTATGCTTTAGCTAGGTCAGAATATTGGTATCTTGTGCATTCAGTCATCCATGCACTACTAAAAAAGGTATTGTGCAGCACTCATGTTCTGGAGTAGTTACAGGTAGATGACAATGGATGAACATATATTTTCATGAATCTGTATTTTATTGAAGGTAGCATATATACTTAAAACACCATAAAGAGACAATCCAAAGTACGTTGAGCACAATTAACACAAAGTGAGAAACATGAATTGATATCTATTTCCCTGTCATATAAAAAAAGTCATCATGTCCAATCTGAAATTTTCATTGAAAAATCTATGTAAAGAAAACCATAAACATCTGTCTAGAATTTATGTGACCTTGTTTGAGCTTTTATTTTAATTTTTTTTTTTTTGAAACTGTGTATTTCAAATGTGCAGTGATTTCCATTTGTGTTTCACCTGCTAATATTTCTGTTAGTCTGGGAACGCATTTTCAGCTGTGTAGATAATATTAATGATTCTTTCCTGTGCTTTAAGTGTTAAGTGTCAGATTGGATGGGACTTTGAACAATCTGTTCTAGTGAAAATTATCCCTGACCATGATATGAGAGTTGGAATTAGGTGATTTTTCAAGTCTCTTTGAACATAAACCATTCTGTGATTCAGTCTGTGACTCCTAAGAGTCCAACTGAATTCAAGGGTGATTTCCACATTTTCAGTGTGGGACATTTTCATTGCTTTTAGGTTCATGGTCCTGCATCTAGTCACCAAGTGAATGTTCTTTAGCAAATGGGATAACTTTTGCAGATAAGTGTAAAACGGGTTTCCAGAGTGCATATTCTATTCCACAAGTGGCTTCCTAATGTTAATATTGTCAAAAAAGAATGGAACTGACCTCTTCTAAGTTTATGGTGATGAAGTACATTACATTCTCATTGAACACATTAAATTATATTTAATTTATATGGCTTTAATTGCCGTGTGTCCTAAACATTCGTATGTGAAGGAACAATCATGTGAGCCCTGTCACAAAAGGTTTTGTCCTGAGGGATTTATTTCTGGAATTGCAACTGTTAAAGAAATTTTTACTACATGTTTTTGAACTTGTTATTACCTGACTACTTTGTGAGAGAACCTAAATTAGAAATGTTATAAAATTACAAAGTTTGATCAAGATCTTACAAGTTTCTAAAGTTCTTGGCCTTCCTTGTTTGGTTTCATGAGCTGATTTAGGAGATAAAAAAATCAAATTGTGCTTTATGTTAAAAATGTGTTTGGAAAAATCAGTGTCATTTTCAGTAATATTTTTTTTAATGTGTGGCACAGAATGCATATGGATTAGCTATATATATTGCTATTAAACCTCTTGAGTTTGTCCTTTTTCCCTGTTCCTTTGTAGCCTTGGAGATACATAAAAATGAGACATTAGCTGAAGCTGTCTCTTTTAAAACTCCTATCTAGTTTACCATGTATTTATATTCTTAACTGTGGGGATAGATATGCATAGTTTCAAATTAAAAAAACCACATGCATCTCTAAATAACTGATGGATGCATTTTTATTGGAATATTCAGAAGACTGTTTTTTCTCTGTGCTGTTTGTTCCCTATATTCTGTTTTAATTTAAAACCTTTCCCTTAATGTATATATTAGAGTGAGTGCTTATCAAAGCATAACTTCAGCTAACAACACTACAGGAGTTATAAGAAATAATTCAGTTGCAGCTTTAATAAGCAGTATATTTAATATATCCATACAATTCAGTAGAAATTGCTCATGGTTTTGCTCTGGTGTGTATATAAGCCCAAAGCTTCATGAGCTTTTTCTGTAACTCTTAGTCAGTAGCAGTGATGGGGCAAATTAATTTTCATTTCCAACAGAAGATTTTGCTGCTGGGGTCATACTGCAATAACTGTGATCACATCTCTATTTTGTGGTTATAAATACATTGTATTTGTGAAAAGAGGTATATGTGAATGAAGTATAAGATCTGGCAAAAATAAAGTCTGTACACTGACCCATGTGAATTGATTTAATGTGTCTCAGAAAACCTTGAGATACAAAATCATGCTCACAATACATTGCATCCTAAATGAAACCAGTTACTTCCAATTTAAGACTATGTTCCATGCATCTCAAAAGAACTGCTTCATTTGTTTATTATATCATCAAATTTTAAGTGTTGTTATGAGAAGTGAATATTTATAGATCTAGTGGTTACCTCAGTTTGTGGAATTTGGGTTGTTGAGATTTGGGCAGGATTTTTTTTCCTCTTTGGTATGGTTTATCTATATCAAATAATTGTACTGGGGAAAAAAAACAGCCTGGGTCCATGAAAAGCAGTGTTTTCATCTTTTTTCACTGAAAAGCTGTAACACTTATGTGACTTAAGAATCAAATAAGAAAATTAAAAGTATTTTTCAGGTAGAACAGTACCTATTTGTACCTAAGAAAAACAGCCAGCCCAAATTATCCTACAAGACTTTACATATTTTATAAGGAACAGTATATATATATATATATATACATATATATATATGGGATTTTCCTCTATAGAAGATTTTTTTGAGTTTAGCAGCTAAATTCTCAGTGTAATGGCAGGTTACTACATACTAGCAGGCAGGGAGGAGGAAAGATGGAGACTGAGATGACCAGTACAGCACTCTGCAAAGTGCTAGTAAGTACTTTGTGGGTTCAAGTGACAAAAGCTTGTGCAGGAAAGATAACTTTGCTAACCTGTTTTTGACCTGAGTAACTGATTTTATATGAAGAAATTCTTATGTAGTTGTTTCTTTTTATTTTTTCTTTTAACTGTTTTATTCTATCTTAAACCTGTGAAAATGCATTTTAAAACTGCATTAGGAAGAAGTTTTCATTGCAACTGCAACCATTAGGCCCAGTTCACTAACTAAGAAGTACTAGATGTCACACTTGATTATAATAGTTGATGATGGATGATACTAGCTTAGCTGTGTAACTTTATTTCATCCCATTTATCTGTGTGTGTAATACAGGTGTTACTTATACCATCACATTTCATTTTTTGCAATTGTTAGTAAAGTGTGCTGTGGAAATGAACCTGCTTTCTGTGGTGATACCTTCCAATTCCTGTAGTTCTACTCTCCTTTTTATTTGTTGCAAAGCTTGAAACTGTGAATAAGGGAAAGGGAAGGATATCTGGGTAGATGCTTTCATTGAGATTTCATTTCTGTTCCAGCCTCTGACACGGGCTTTGTGAGAAGGAGATAATAATTTAAACTGAACCTTCTACAGCTGACCTCTGATTATGTATATTCATTATTTTGAGAATCAGAGGCTGGGCTTCTGGAAATGCTGAGCATTCTTACAACAAAAGTTGCTAGAAAGTCTATATGGAGCTATCCAATCCTAAACACTGAGAAAAATTTGGCCTGTAGGCATCCCAAATTAATGAGTACCATATCTCATAGTTACTTAATCTCTCCTCTGTAAAATGGGGTAATACTATATCTTCATTCTTCCTGTCAGAGAAATTATGTGTCAGTGAATCTTTTGCTTGCTGTAGTGATGAACATTGCAGAAAAACACACAAGAAAAATATGATGCTGATTTTAAAGAGAGATAAATTACAGGAAGCCATGCCTGAAGTAATGGCAGTAAAACACCACTGAATGAAGTTTCAGACTGTGAGAAGGAAGGAGTTTGTGGGTATTAAATTAAGAGCTGTATCATAAGGTCTACATAAAGGGGGCTGAAATATGACTTCATGACCAACTTTTTATTTCTGAACTCATGAGCACTTTATTTTGTGGCCTGCATATTCTTGTCATAGGGCGTTGCAGGCATGTGGAATTGCACAAAAAATGTGCACATTATTAATCTTTCAGATATATTATGTTGTCATACTAATTTATTCCTAATGTGTAGAAAATGCATAACATATTGAATAAGAGATGTACTGAGATCCATTTTCCCTCTTATCAATAGCATGAAAGACTTTGGACCTTCAAATTTTAGTAATGTATGTCTGTTCAACATTTTGCTTTATTTATTTTTGCATATATATACTTCCCTAAAATCAATTTTTGCTAGGTGGACAAGTGTTTCAATTCCTGGTAGTCTTTGTTTACTCTAAATTGCATATGCACACCATTACTACATTTTGAGTTAGAAAAGCTGTACTTTAGTAAAAGACAAAGAAAACTTTTGAAAAGCTATATTAAGAGAGCCAAAAGCTAAGATATGTTACACATTAATAAAACTTACTGGAGTATATATTTATATTTATCTCTATCTGTATATTCATATTTAGCTTGATGCTTTGCAAAATACCTTACCTAAAGTCTAGAGTTAAATTATTATGAAAATAAAGATATTTCATAGACATGGAGTACCTCACTTGTTGATACCAGTTCCTTTGTCAGAGTTAGCTGAGGCTCTTCTGTCATGGTGGTTGGGTTATTTTTGTTCTTTCATGGCTGCATAGCAGTGTTTTAAAATTTTTCTATTAATTTTATGTTTTTTCAGCTGTCGTGACTGGTTGTCTTGTACCATTCCCCTTGAGTGTATGTGTGTATTTATTATTTTAAACAATGACATTATATGTCCAGATAGGGGTCCCATTAACTTTCTATTTCACTAGAAATTGGCACAAATTTGCATCAAAGGGTTTAGTTTCATAAGTGATATTTTTTGTTGTCATTGAATGGAAGTTGAGAGTTATTTCGTTTTCACCATATTGTGAATTTGTCACCACTTTGCATGACAGAGCAAGCAAACAGCAATGCTCAGCTTCACACTTCACATTTCTGAGGGGACTTCATGTAGTTAATATTTAAAGCAAAAAGATAAGAAAACAGTTGTAGGCACTTAGATGATGTGATTATAGGCAGAGGCATTTGACTCTCTCAGTGTTTTTGTAGAAAGTATGTGAAACTCTTACTTGATTGGAAATATCAAGGAAGAATAGCTTAAAATTTCCTTGCAGCCTTTCCTAAATAGTGGGTCCCCTATAACAGAATCAAATAAATTTAATTTGGAGGATTCAGTTAAAATTAATATAAACTTATTGTTTTGTTGGTTTTGTTCTTGTTTCACCGAGCAGTATATTAATCAATCCTGGAAACCATGTCAAGATTCAAGAAGGTACCTTAGGATTCTTCATTGCAAGTGATGCCAAAGAAGTAAAAAGGTAATTTAAATGTTTTTATCTTTGAATAGAAATTAATATATTTAATTTCAGTTTTTTTTTCTTTACATGTAAATGCTTAATCTAATTTTCATTATTATCTGTTTAGAAACTCTGAGGGGGGCTGAGTTGTTACTCCTGAACCACCTATAAGCATGTCGTTTTCCTAACTGTTATCCTAAACATCAAGGAATGGAAATTTGCAGCAGATCTGAAAAGAAATAAAGAGACTGGGTTTTGGAGTTCTTCTAGAAAACTTGAAATATTTTCACTTTTTTTCTCTATACTTATTGTGTCTCAGAGGAATTACTGAGAGGAGGACAGGGATGACATTTCTGTTCATCTCGGGTTTAGAGGAGTTTTTATCTACACAGATTTTAGCAAATTCTTGATGCGAGTTAGGTTCTATGTTCATTCTGTAATTGCCTTAGCAAAATAGTATTTATGTCCTTGTCATTTTTCTTTAATGGAACAAAAAACTCTATGGCCTCATAATAATAAATCAATCTACAAAAGTGCATTCTACCCATTGCAGACAGCTTCACAGGCTCAATGTACCTGGCTGTACTAGATTTAGGATGAATGAAAAGGAGTTTTATGATATTGTGTGAGGACCACATGTGTGTACTTTTGTCTGTTAGAGGTATAGTATGCTTGGAAGGAACAAAAGAGCAATGTGATAAAATAATTTTTCAAAGAAAAATATTCAATGTCTCTATGATTTAAAAAAAGAAAAATGGAAAAAAGAAGTATATGCGGCTGAGTGCTTCCTCATAATTTGTATCTTTGTTATGAGTCATGAAATCAGATTTTTACTGATGTTCTCCTTGAGTCTGGTATTTTAACTAAATTCTATACTTAAAATTATAAAGTATTCAAATGATACCCTTTATTAAGTTCCAACCTTTTAGGATTAAATATAGTGAAATAATACTTAGACATGCATACTTACCATGCATACTTAAAGAAAGTCCAAGCACCAAAACAGTGAAATTAGAGAGCTTGACTTCTATTTTTCTTGAGACAGCTGAGATAGGTTTTGGTTAGGTGAAGCATGCAGAGCAGGGCAGCAGTGCTCCTGTCCTGTCACATCTCTAGCACCATCTCTGGAGCAGGTGCATCCTGCACTGCCTCAGGGACTCTGCCTTGCAGCATTCCCTTCTTTTCCTCTCTGCTGCTTTTCTCCTGTTGAACATCCAGAACTGTCTGCACACTGCTTTACTGAGCTGCTAGTTTTCTTTACTTTTTAGGGCATTTTACACTCTGCAATGAACTTTTTCTCAGACTGTAATTCAAACGGCATAGTATTTTTAACTGCTAAGTTTAGGGAAAAGTTAACTGTTATTAAGTAGTTTAGACAAATTTTTCACATCATTCATCTACCATTTTTTATTTGATAGTGAACGTGAAACAAGATTTCCAATTCTGTCTGGCTTTTGGCAGAAGGCTTTATTTAGAAATATTGTGCCTCCCTTGCCACATTTCTTAGCTGCTCTGTGCAAAGCAAATGGTTATCAGATGTGTTTCTACTAACAAAGCCAATTATGAAAAGTGTTAATTTCACCCTTTGAGCTATGCTTCAGAGTCAGAAATATGTTCTAAAATTTAGGTCTTTTGGAGGTGAAAAATGATTTTTTAATAAAGCATAATTAAACATGTTTTATACCTGAAATGCAAATTAAATTATCCTGGCTTTGTAAATGAAGACATTTCAACTCCCTTAAGCTAAAGTTATTCATATTTATGTTTCTCACAATGAAATATAACCTACAATGTTCAATTACTCTTTCTGTTAGAATCACTTTTGCATTTTTAGAGGAATACTTTCCCGTAAGAAGCAATTATACCTACAAACACTTATGCCTGGGTAAATAGCTTCACATAAAATGTTGACTGTTTAAATATAATACAAACTACCTGAATTGCATCTTCATTATTCCTTATTCATTTGCATGTTAGCACTAGCATCAGAAATCCACATTCTTCAAATCCATTTAATTTACCCCAATTATCTGGAATAATTTTGTTATAGCAATCACTTCAGGTATTTTTTCTTTACTTTGGACATAGGATTGAAGGTACCCTTTAGGACAATTGTCCTGCAGTGAACTTTAGAAACACGGTCTCTAGACCAGTTCACGTTAGGAAGTTTTTGTGAGGGACTATTTGTGGTAGTTGATTCTTGTTTAATAAGGGGCTTTACAGCTGGACTGGAGAGAAATTTTAAAAATTTGAGGCAGTTTTCCCCTCCTGGCCTACATCTTGACATCAACTCATGGTTTGAAAAACATTTTCTTCTCATTTATTTGGAAGTAGTTTATTTTCTTTTTGGTAGGATGTGAATATCTTGAAGATCAAAAAGTTTCTGCAGCAAAGTATACATGCTCAGAGAAGATGTTTTCCTTTTACATTTTGCATCTTGGAAATACTAAGGCAATTTCACAGCCTGAAAGAGTAATCTTCCTGGAAGTTTCTTAGAAAAATATATTGTGCTGTGTTTAGGATTTATATATTCCATTGGTAGCTTCATGTTATATTGATTTTAGAAATGTTAATAGCATTCAGTGAGGTCTCCCTGCAATTTCAATTTGTATTTGAACTCATATTAAACACTGATGTGGTTCATCTCTTCTACCTGCTGTCATTCTTGTGATGGGTCACTTAACTACCAATATAGTCCCACCTGCAGTGGCCATGCTATATTTAAAATAGAAGAAATAGTAGTAATCATCCTGGCTGATTAAAAAGGCAGGTTTTAATCAGAGGCTGTGTATTAATGTTGGTTTGATTTTTGGTTTTTTAATATTTTGGACTGTAGATAGTTTTGTTTCAGTGGCCTCCCAACTGTTGTAGCAATCTAGCAATCTCATACTGTCAGCAAAACATATGGGTGGTTCAAAGTGGGGGCTTTGCCTCTTACTGCCAGATCTCATTGAGAAATATGCAGTTAGAGGGAGAGGAGAAGATAGGGAGCTGACCTCTCCTGAGTGTGTAAAAGTGCAAGGAAAATTCATAAGGTTAAAAAGTATGTTTCTGGGTAATCCTCATGAAATGTGTCATGGCAGCCTTACATGACATGTTGACTTGGCAGTCATGATTGAATTCTCCTGTGGGCAGTCTGATGCATATTTATTAAATCAGAAATTTTAGAAAATATTATATAAAGTGAAAAATTTATCCTTTCTCACATCCTTATTTCTCCTTGTGCTGGCATGGGGCATCCACATCTTCCCTGTGCAACTTGTTCCAGTGTCTCACCACCCTCATAGACAAGACCTTTTTCCTAGTATCTGATCTAAATGTACCCTCTTTCAATGTAAGCCCATTCCCCCTTGTCCTGTTTCTACATGCCCTTGTAGATATTCTTGCCCCATCTTACCTGTAAGTTCCCTTCAGGTACTAAAGGCCACACTTGGGTCACCCAGAAGCCTCCTCTTTTCCAGGCTGAACAACCCCAGTTCTCTCAGCCCTTCCTTGTTGGAGAGGTGCTCCATTGTTCAAACCATCTTGGGGGCCTCCTCTGGGCTCACTCCAACAGGCCCATGTCCTTTCTATGCTGGGGACCCCCAACACTGCAGGTGGGGTCTCACCAGAGTGGAGCAAAGGGGCAGAGTTCCCCTCGTTGTCCTGCTGCCCACCGGGCTTAGGATGCACCCCAGGACATGTTTGACTTTCTGGGCTGTGAGTGCACGTTGCTGGCTCATGTTCAGCCTCTCATCCCCAAGTCCTCCTCAGCAGGGCTGCTCTGGGTCTGTTCATCCCCCTGGATTGATACTGGGGGTGGCCCCAACCCTGCACTTCATCTTGTTAAACCACAGGATTTTCCCAAGGGTCCAATTCTTGAGCTTGTCCAGGTCCTTCTGGATGACAGCCTGTCTTTCAGGTGTGGCAAAAGCACCACTCAGCTTGGGGTCATCTGAAAATTTGCTGAGGGTGCACTTGATGCCTCTGTCTGTGTCATTACTGAAGGTACTAAATAACACTGGTCCCAGTACAGATCCTTGAGGGACACCACTTGTTACTAGTGCCTGGTGGGACTCTGAGCCATTGTTCACTACCCTCTGGATGTGACCATCCAACCAATTTCTAATCCACCCACGGAATCCATCACTCCACTTTGGAGAGAAGGCTGTTGTGGGGGACCATATCAAAGGCTTTACAGAAGTTTGGATAAATGACACCTGTAGTACTTCCTTATCCACTGATGTAGTCATTTCATCATAGCTGGTTGGTCAGGCAGGATTTTCCCTTGGTGAAGCCATGCTGGCTGTCTTGAATGACCTCCCTTTCCTCCATGTCCCTCAGCACAGCTTCTGAGAGGTTGTGTTCCATGACCTTTCCAGGCATGGAGGAGAGGCTGAGAGGCCAATAGTTACCAGGGTCATAGTTTCTACCCTTTTTTAAGATCAGTGTACAATATTGATCGTACAGTTACTATCAAATGTACAGCCTGAAAAATTGGCACAGGGTACTAGACAGTCTTTAAAAGGGGCAGGTATACTACACTGGTCTAGCTGGTAATAACAAAAAGTTATTTTTTTGTGATGAAGTCCATTGGATGCTCTTTTTTTTAAGATGAAAAACAAATGAACTAATACACTGTGGCATAATTATAATACATCCTTCCAATCACTTTTCAAATAAAAGTGTATTAAAAGAAATACTAATTTGGAGACTCATATTTAGAATTAATTTTCTTGTAGGAAATATTTCCTACTTTAAATGTCCAAACCTTTGCAAAGATTAAAGCAAATTGACATTGGCGCTTTTCATTAATTGGTCACTGCAACAAGATGAAATATGGGATTAATTTCATTCATATGGATTAAGAAATGTGTCAGTTTTTCCATTCTGTCTCTTTAGGGCATATTTTTACTGCAAGGCCTGTCATGATGACATCACAGATCCCAAAAGGATAAAAAAATGTGGCTGCAAACGGCGTAAGTAATATTTCTATCCCTCCCTTCCTCTCCTTCTCATGAACTGTTCAGCCCTGAATACCTGTACATGCATTTACATGTTTTACACAGTGGTACAGAAAAGCTAAGAAATAAATGCACAGCAACACAGTAAGTGATATTTGGGTTTCTGAAGTCCACATGTTTTTATTACATTTCACACCACTCAAACCTGTGTCTTCATTAAAAAGTAAATTAAAGTCCAATGCTAACAAAAAATGAAGAATTAAGTCAAGCTAAATCTTGAATTAAGTCATGCTAAGCCTTGTGGAGGTTTCTGAGTTAAGAATTAGCCAACATTGAAGTTTTTCTCTCATTTCTAACATGCAAATTCTGCAAGAGAAGAAACTAAGGAATTATATTTTATACAGCTATTTAAATAATTTTTTTGTTGAAATAAATGAACAGTTTTACTGGAGGAAAGGGTTTTCTGAAAGAAATTGAATATTAGCATCTCTTATATATATCCTTTTAGCTGTAATGCTAATGTTAGGTTTATTTAAGTTTAAGAACTGTTTGGACAGTTTTCAATTAAGAAATAATTGAGGATTTGAATGGAGATGAGACTTTGCATATCAATTTCTATAAATATGTGTATGACATATATCATATATATATGCTATATATATAATATATATATGATATGCAAAATATCAGCATTTTACCCATATATACTTTGAAAGGACCTTTTTCAGGAGCTATCACAACCCCTCTTTAACCACAGATGTGTTTGACCCATGCGTATTTGTAATACCAATAGCAAAATTTTTTAGGAATCGATTTATCATTGAATACATAAATATTTATGTGCATTCCATGTTATTCTGCCATGAAAAAGATAATTCAGTTGAAAAGTATTGATTAGGTAAATTGAAAGATCTCAGAAGAGTTTGATCATGCCTATTTTACCAATACTTTTAAATGGGAAAAAGCTCTCTTATTTATAACTTGATTCTGTGTTATCAGTGCACTATTATAGAGGATGGAAGAAAGTCTAAACTGAACATTCTCTGCCTTTTGGAGCACCTGAAATGATTGAAATTTTGAAGATCATTTTCAAAAGAAAAAAATTTATTGCTGGAGATTTTTTTTTAAATCTCCTCTCCTCCAAAACACCAAGAGTGTGGAACAATAGTATGATAGGGAGAAAGCAGCTGGAACTGACAGAAAATGGTATTTATCTTCCCAGTAGCCACAAGGAGAGCAAAGCACATGGAAAGCATGCCTGATGTGGAAGGAATGTATGCATTGCCTAACATATTGGAAAAAAATTGTTCAAGAACAGTTTATCCATGTGAGAATGTGACCTTTGAACTGCTGCCAAAGCCAATGAGTCTGCCGAGTAAGTTCTGGTAAAGCCAGTTACAGATGCCTCAGGGTGCCTGTAACTCTCAAATAAAGTTTTTTTTTCAAAATTACTCAACAGTTAAAAAGAAATATGTTACCTGCTTAATTTTATCTGGTTTTGTCAGGGAATAAAAAAAACAAAAAAACAAAAACGAAAAAAAAAACTATTTTATTTCCATTTTCTTCTCTACTCCTCCTTCACATGGTGTATGCTTTTTAAACATGTCTTGCTTAAAAAAAGAATAAATACCAAAGATCTCTCAGTTTAATGTGAGAACTACACTTTTCATTGTCATCTGATAGAAGATAGGAATCAGGAACTCACATAGTAAAGGTTAAGAGCCCTTTATTATTACACGTTAATTAGTATCAAGGAAACCTTCTCAGTATTTTGAAACCTGGGAGGAAACAGGGTATGACCCAGCCAACACAATGGATATTACCAGCAGTAAGACCATGGAAGTTGGAAGTTGGAAGGGTTACAAATGGCATGGTCACACATATCAGTCCAATAAATGAAAAGGTGTTGGGCCAATGAACAAACAAAATGATTGAGTTAGTGAGGCAGAAGAAGAAGGCAGCTCTCAGAGCTGTTGCAGTGAGCACTGAACACTAAGAAGGGAATCCTCTGAGTCAGGTGAAAAATAAGGGTCAGAGAGAATAGCATCTTAAATTTCCCTTTCATCATCTCCCCTCTCCTCAGTCTGCCCTCTTTCTTAGACATACCAGGAGTCACAGATACCACGATAGCAGGCAGCCTGTAGTAGAGCTGAGAATAGCAATCAATGAGGAGCATGCTCACAAGTATTAGAAATAAGGCAATTGCTTTTGTTTTAAAGAGCTGTCAGTCAGAAGAAAAACCAAAATGAAAGATTTCAATAGTAATTAGTGATTTTTGTTTCTCAAATTTTTTTGACAATTTTGAAATCCCTTTTATGGGATCTGCTTTTTGGGTTTGGGTTTGTTTTTAAGGTAAGTCTTCAGCACAGAATGTTATTCACATAAAATGTTTTAGCTTTCAAATCACTAATCACTTTTGAAAAAGCTTAGATATGTTATCCATCTGTAAATTATGCAAATCATTGGTCTTAAAAATGCAGTTCTAACCAAAACAAAGCATAAATTGAGAAAACTTTCTCCCTGTTGAGTTAGAAAACTGTCAATTTTGATGTCAATGTGTAATACACACTATGCCAACTTGATTTTTGACACTGCATACACATGCATCTGTATAGTTCTATATGACAAATACATGCTTTAATGAGCAAGTAACATAGTAATTAGAGGCAGCTGAATGTGGAGAATATGTAAGATGAAAGGAAAAGTTGTATATAAAAATATTGACACATTCAGGTGAATTAAATGTGAAAGAAATGGAAAACTTAATTACGGTGGCTCTAATTAATGCAGTTTCCCGTAATGCTTAACCCACATTGTTTAATAATGCATCTGAGATTGCACTTCAGTTTAGATACTTTCTGAATATTAGCTTGGGGTATTGTAGGGGTCTAAACGTGAGCCTGACCTACATAGCCATTTGTCCAAACTTGTTAGGCCTAATATTAATAATTCAGGGCAGATCAGTACATTTCTACAAGGCCAAAGATAATTCATGTAATCCTGCTTTTCTTTTGCAGTTTCTTTGCCACCCCTTTTTCCTTACCCATCCCACTCCCTGAATAGCACATAAATGCTTATGGCATATTGTCCAAAGAAATACTTATGTGGAAATTTTATTTGCAGATTGTTAATTTTTTTAATGATTTCAATCTCTTTCCTATTCCACTTAACTGTAGTTTTTGCAGCAAGAGGCCAAATATATGTATATATTTACATAAAAAGCTACCACGTTGGGATGAAATCTCTAAACTGGATGACCTGTTCCTCCTGTTTCTTTCATTTTGTGCAACAGCTATGGTCTAATTCTCTATATATTTTTTCCAGTGACAGTGCTTGCTGTGAATGGTGGGGGTTGAACCCCAGAGGGTACAAATCATGTGTACATTGATATGTTTGAAGGAATTTCTTGTAATCTATGACAATTGACAAACTTTTGATTTATTTTTCCTCTTGCTGCCTTGGAACACGGCCCCTACTATATTTTAACTGCACACTGATAGTGATCTATTGTGAGTAAAAATGGGTTCCCTGTAGCCCAGAGTGCGGTCCAACCTGTCTTTCTCTAGAAGAGAGTATTTTTGTTCAGTATTTTGGTTCTTTTCTTTATTTATGTTGCATGTAGCAGTGACGTCATACCCACAAGTTTCTCATCGTTTACACCAATGGAGATTAGGGTGACGTTGAAGAAAATACAGCAGTTTTCCCTTCTTCAACCTATTTGCCCCTTTTTTCCACAAGCTTATTTTTTATCCCTAAATGAAAATTAGATCTTGGCAATAGTATTTCCTTGAAATTCTGGAGATATTTCATGAATTTTTAGGGATATTGTTTAGGCTGGGGTAATTGCCACTATAGGACTCTTTGCCTGGTTAAATACAATTCAGTTGTTAGGTTCCTGTTTAGTTTTTTAGTACTTTGTCCTTTCCATTGCACAGCTGACACAAAGAGTAGCACAGCGATCTTTTACTGTCCTTATCTAACTTCTTTCTTCCCAATGACAGAAAAAAAAGTTATGGGAGAAAGCCAGACAGTGAATTAGAAGTGTGTTTTTTTAATGCATAAACCCAGAGATATCTTCAACAGGAAACAAGCTACAGTGATTATTTTCCTGATCTTGCTGGTTTTGACACTACTTACATAAGTAGACACACACTGACTTTTCAGGACCTTAGCTGTAAAGTTTAACAGTACTATTATATATAGAATATGAACTTTATGGACCACTTCATGTCAATCTAGGTCATACCACTTGAAACTGCAGAATCTATGAAGGCTCTCATCAGCCACTTTGTGTGTACACTCATTAACACAGCTTTTGGGACATGGAAAGAATTTGCTGCTTAGAAATGTGCTGGTGCAAGTACATGGTACTGTACAATGTTGTGCAGTATGTACAGGTACTGTACAAGTGCTGCAAAGAAATGTACTGGTTACAGGGCAGTGCTGGGATTATATGGGCTTGTTCTTTCAAAGAACAAGGGGTATCGAGTATCTCATAGCTGCAAGCTCATAGTGCAGCATTGCTGTGCCAGATTGAGGCTGTAACTTTACTGTGTAGCTGCAGCTATTCTAAGTAAAGGAGGCCATGAAACTTCAACATTTTACCAGATATTCTGAATTTATTGTGTGCAAACACTTCAGATCTTAATGAGGATTGAGATAATTTCCCCCTCTCAGCTCTGCACACTGTAGGATCTTGCAAAGAATCAAGGAATAATTTTTGCTTATGATAAAGTTCTGGCCTTCTTGAAATTATGGTGGCCTGTATTATGATTATCATTATTTACTATTTATTTTTTTTTGTGGGGCCTGCAAACTACGCTAAAGGATTGAGATCCTGTTGTGGAAGAAAACATTCAAGGATAGAACAGAAATTTCTCCAAACATCTATTTTTAGCCGATAGAAAGATGAGGCCGCAGGAAAAAGCAGACTGTGAAACAGGTCAACATGATAAGAATCAACAGTAAACCAAATAAATTCTATGGATAAAATGGTGAATCCTATTGACTTTGAGGCAAAATACTGGAAGTAATCTGGATTTATCTGAAGCAATGTATTTATTTTAAATACGTTTTTATGTTGAGACCTTTCTGAACTAAAGAAATTTATTTAAATGTTAATAAGTAATGGAGTTCTTCATGCTGTGAAAGAACTAGAAAAGAAAAGGTCATGTAGTTTTGGTTTGGTTTTTTTCCATTTCCCTGATAGCTTAAGTTTGTTTAGAAATGTAGTTTGCTTTGAGAGTACACTGGCTGAGAGTCTTCTGTAAGGTAATGAAGGAAAGGTCATGATCAGATTTGAAAATTAAAATGAATTGGTCTATAAATGTGCTATTAAATAAAAACCTGTGAGTCATTCTTATATCTACTAAAATAGGGCAAGATGTCCACTCGGATCTCCTGCTGTTTCTACAGTTTTGACATAAAACAGCACCTTGTGAATTGGAGCAAACAAGTTACTAGTTGTCATTGATGGCAAAAATTGGGAGAGAGTGAACAAGCTGACTTATTAGTCTTGAAGTTGTCTCGTAAAAATTAAATAATGGAGAGATAGACTTGCCTGTTGTGTTAAGGTTAATGAATTCTTAGAAGCAGTTTAAGGTACACTGCTGTATTTTTCAGGAAACTGAAACTGTGCTGGGGGAAGTCCTGTCTGTGTTTCAGTCTCATGATGCTAACCAGCATTGCTGGCAGGTGATCACTCCGTTCTGGTCGCCTTTAATGCTGATGATTTTTCACTCATAGTTTGGATCATGACGAATTGAAATAACATTGTGCATTTCAATGCATTATTGTGTTATTTCAATGCATTGTGCATTTCAATTCTGAAGCGTCTTGGGACCTTTTTCTACCTTTTTGTGCCATTCGGTGGTCAGGAAGCCTCCCGTTCCTGCTCCTAAGCAGCTGCTGCCTGAGCGAGATCCACTAGATGTCCTCGGAGCTCTACCCTGGCTGCGCTGAGCCCAGGGAAAAGCCGAGTGACAGGAGCACCACCAGGATGGGGTACAGCCTGTGGTTCACGAAAAATCAGGAAAGAAGAAGGAATACTTTGTTCTGCTTTCTTTAAAGAAAGGAAAAAAAAATGAAAAGAAAAAGATAAAGGAGCTGTTCCTTGACATTTTAGGTAGAGAATAATCTGCAGTTTCCTTTGCTTATTTTTGCAGCTGGAAATATTTCCCATTACTATTTGTGAACTCTAAGTAACACTTCAGATCCAGACAATCTACACATTTTAACTGTACTTTTTGGCTTTTTGAGATCAGAAAGTAAGGTATTGTGAGAAGCTTAGACATCTGGGGAACTATTCTTTCTTGTACAGAAAGGAAGGCTACTGCCTTCTGAGAAAAATTGCATCTGAAAGTTTTGAGAAGTATT